GATACTTCCAGTTCCACCAAGGTGATTCTCGGTCTGGATCTCAAAAAAGCTTTCGACAACGTTGAGCACGCGGCGATTCTCGACCGCGTCCGAATCGCTCGGACTAAGCCTAAGAACGTACAAATACGTACGCGATTTCCTCACAGGCATGCGCGCGAGTGTCGTCATTGGCAACGCGGAATCCCCGGAATTCGAGACGGGTCCAACGGGCACGCCCCTTACAAAAATCTGTAGTTAAATTCTTTTGAATTTTTGTTGAAAATTTTTTGGAGTCGTAATGAATTTCTTTTAAAACTTTTTCGATGTTTTTTAGACTTTGTTTTGACAACTTATTTAACTCCTAGTTAAAATTGGCCACTTAATTTTTTTTAGAATTCCTTTTTACATACATTCTTTTAAATTCCTTCTTACATAAATTTTGTTGAATTCCTTTTGACGGAACCGCAGGTTAACTTAAAAAAAAACACTCAACTTTTTTTAATATATTTTTTGAATTCCGTTAGGAAATAGTGGTTTTGGTACATCCACATCCCACAAATAAGCAATGTAAACGAACACAAACACCATCAAGCACTCAACACGAAAAACACAGTCCTGTTGACAGCACCAGAAGCCTTATATAGCCTACATATTGAAGGTAATCATTTGGCCGGTGACCACCTCAGCACTTACTAAGTTTTCCAAGTCTCCGGTCTCCTTCTCGAAAGTATGTCAAAGGGAAGGCAATGTTTCGAAGTTCGTGGACTCTATCTCTTACTAAAAAGCATTGGTACAACTAATAATAAAATTCGTGAAGTCACTAAAACAACATCCACAAAAGCGGCTCATATAACAAATGTTATCGCTTCTCTGCATAGCAACCACTCAGGACGAAGCCAGGCAAGGCGGTTGCTCCACTTTAAAATAGTTATTTTGCTTTTCTTTGAATAGGGTCAATAACGCCACGATAGTAATTTACAAAGTGAGAACGGCTGGGCGTGTTTTTTCGAACGTCTGGCCTCCAGCACGCGCCCCATGCCTTCCGTCGTGCTTTGACTGCGCAGCTCGAGCTCGAGGGGCGCGAGACGTCGAAGAGTTGTCAAGGATAGAGGGCTCGCGCTGGCGGGCAGTAGAACGGAAGCTCCTCCCTACGGTTCTCAACTTGTCAGAGACTATTGAGAAACTTAGTGACTTTTGACATTTAGTCAAGATGTATTATGTTCAATAAAAAGTCAACAGAAAGTCTGTAGCTTTTTTTTTGACACTGGCTACAGAAAGTCAACTGAATAATTTGAACACGAAGTAAACAGAACGTCTGCGGTATTTCTGACAACACTTTCAACAGGAAGTCAATAGAAAAAGATCCAACGTAGAATTAATAGAAAGTCAATAGCTTTTCTTTTGACTCAGGCAAAGAAAATTATAAAAAAAAAGTTTTTAACACAAAATCAACAAACTTTCTGTTGACCATGTCAACAGGAAGTCAGTCAAAAGAAAGTAATCCGAGTGAACAAGAAGTCAACACATTTTCAATAAAAAGTAAAAAAAAAAACAAAAAAACACATCCGTCATATCGGACCCCGCACACGACCGCAGACCAAATAAAATAATAAAAAATGTCTCTTATTATAAAATAATATAAAGAAATAATGTCAATAAGTTCTTTTTATTTTTTAGAAAATAACACAAAAAAACATCGTTACCACTTATTTTTTAATTTGTTTATAAATAAATCTACAAATCAAAATCTATTATTTTTCCTTTTGAATTTTTTTAGAAAATAAGCTACAGAAAAACGTCTTTACAGGTTCTTTTTAATTTTTTTATAAATAAGTCTACAAAAAGTTTCATTATTTTTCCTTTTGAAAGTTTTTTGACAATAGTCAAAACAAAGTGCGTTTATAAAGGAATTCAGTAGGATCGCGGAAAGTCAATAAGAAGCCTAAAGAAATTAAAAAGAATGTTGAGACCCGTTTTTGTAAGGGCGGCACAGGGCTCCGTTGTGTCGCCCATGTTGTTTAATTTGGTCCTCCTCGGGCTCCCCGCGAAACTAGCAGCAATAGAGGGGCTGCATCACAGCCTCTACGCGGACATCACCCTCTGGGTCCCCGGAGGACTATGCGACGGCCACATAGAAACAACTCTGCAGGCAGGCGTGGACGCGGTCCAGGAGTACTTGCGCGGTACTGGCCTCGAGTGCTCGGCGGCCAAGTCCGAGCTCTTACTCTACAGACCCACAAGCAGGGGTCGCCAAACCCTCCTCCCCGAGGGTGGGGTCCGATCGGAAATTCGAGTATAACGGCGGACAGGGTGTCATACCGCGCGTAGACCAGATCAGGGTATTGTACTGCATCTGCAGGGTAACGGACACAACGGCGAGGCAGTGCGAAGACTCGGGCGTTCGGTAGACGACACGATCCGACTCCTCCGCCGCATAGCAAACCGACGCAGCGGTATGCGGGAACACTGCGCGATCCGTCTCGTACAGGCGTACGCGATTAATCGCACAACGTACGCGGCCCCTTACTTAAAGTGGCTGGCGTCCGAAAGAAACAAAGTCGAGTGCATGCATGATACGTGAGGCGTTCAAGAGGGCGGTCGGCGTCCCCGTCAACGCGAGCACGGACAGGTTCCTCGAGCTGGGCCTGCACAACACCCTGAGCGAACTGATTGAGGCGCACGACGTGGCGTAGTACGAGGGACTGTCCAAGTCCAAGACGGGCCGGCGCATCCTCGAGTCGCTTGGCATAGCGTACCACGGCGGTTCCGACCCCGGTCCGCGACCGCCTGCACGTCCCGCCGCTCCCCAAGAACATGCGCCGACGCACCACGTCGGGCGCCGCAACAGACGAGCGAGCGACCTTCAGAGGAGGTTTGGCAACAGCAGACGTGTACGTAGTTCAACTACTCTACTCAAGTTACTGTAGTTTAACTACGTTTTTGAGTAGTTTAGTAACTTTCAATCACATTTTTATTTCGGTAATAAGTAGTTTACTTTAATTACTTTCTTGAGTAACTTCTACTCAAGTTACAAATTACTTTTGAATTTCAGTGGTTGTCTCGCCTATCAACAAACATTTCTGCACAAAGGAGATAAGATGTTGGAAGGGGGGGGGGGGGGTGGGAGAATATAGTATGGAAAGACCGTAACCCCCCAAAATGTTTTCAAGCCCCCCCCCCCCCCTGCAACTACACTGCCACGAGGCGCGGGGAGCGAACAGACACGACGCAAGAGAGGCCGAGTAACTGCGGGATTAGCGCCGATGCCTGTCGTTTCCCTGTGTTTGAAGCTCAAGCAGACTTGACCCATTTGAAGAAAGGGATTTTCCCCACTTCTCCCCAACGTAGAATCCCTCGCCCACTAAAGGAGGCGCACACACTGCATCCTCACTTAAGTTAAAGGAGGTAACAAAGTGCAGCGCCTGCTCTGAAACTCATCTGATGCTCCCGTAGTTTGTGCTGTACTCGAAGAATCTCGTGCTAAAGGGCAACGCAAAGATTACCTTTTTGCGTTGCCAATCCTCCCAATACTTAGAATATGCAGATCTTCAAAAATTCAAAGATCGCTACAGAAACCTGTAGTAATTCCTCCAACGTTTTTTTATAAAAGTAATAAACAAGCAGTGTTGGTAAGTACACTATGCACATGGTAATTAAAGTACTACTGTTTAGAAAAAGTGTACCGTACTCGAAGTAAAATCTCTGGACATGTACTTGTATATTCCGAGGAAAGTAAAACTCCCGACTTCAATGTACATTCCCCGAATTTGAAAACAAAAAATGGCGGTATCGTCGTGTGAAAACACGCTTTATCGAGACGTCATCTGTTCATTTCTCTGAGTGAAGTAATGGCGGCTGCAAGACCCATGGAAATTGTCTTCTAAGTTGAGAGTGTCAAATAGCTACTCAGCGAGAGTAAAACAACTACTCTGCGGCGACCTGACCTTATACAATATTTGCTGCCATTTCCGTAAGAAACTAATGCATCTGCGATTACCCCTGGGGCAATGCATACCACTTAAAAAACACTACAAGGAATGAATGATGTACTTTACGCAACACTGTAAACAAACAAAGACTGTCTAAAAAATCAAGCTCGGTCAGTGCTAAACCTCAAAGTAGAGATGACGCGTTCACATTACATCATTGACCAAACAAACAGGAAAGTACAAAGCAATTAGGCACGCAGAAGCAAAACCAGCTGTTAAAGCATTTCTGTGACAAAAAAACAAGCAGATTCATATTTGGCTAGCACAATTTCGCTAACGGATCAAAACGTGTGTACTTTTTTTTACCACAAAAAAAACATAAAAATAACTTCAAAAGTAACTTCCAAAGTAATTCGCTACTTTTTTGCAGTAATTAGTAATTTTCTCAAATACTTTCAATTTGAGTAATTTCTACTCTACTAAAATTGCTCTTGACGTGAATACTCAGTAACTTAACTTAATTACTTTGGAATACATCTTAGCGCTCAAAAAACAGGGACAGAGAGGCGAGTTACAGACAGCACAGTGCGCTACTAACAACTGATTTTATTACATGAAACGACACTTTTATACCATCCGAGTTTCTGATTTTGCTCCACCACTAGCCAACACGGTGCCAGGCCGCGTCATTGAGGAACACAGGTAGGTGTGTTAATGATAGGCTGAGGGAACACAAACTTAAAGCTGGAAATTATCGGGACGGTCATCTGTCTGATCATTGTCAAAGTTGCAAGTGCGTGCCGTTGTTTTACGAGAGCAAGATTCTGGCACGGCACAAAGAAAAAACTGTGAGGGAGATAGTCGAGGCAGATGAGATTAAGAAGGGTGGTGCAGCATGTGTCAGCGTGGCCTCAATTGATTTACTGTACAAGGAGCGTGCGTACCTTAATGACGCGGCCTGGCACCGGGTTGGCTAGTGATGGAGCAAAATCAGAAACTCGGATGGTATAAAAGTGTCGTTTTATGTAATAAAATCAGGACACAGAGATAGCATAAAAAACCGGTCCCAGAACGTAGACGTTGCGGAGTTCAGCGCTCGTGGCTACCGGTTCGCACGGTTTTCTCGGGACGTGAAATTCTTTCTTTCTAGTCCAGTGGGCGGGGGTGTTTTTCGGAAAGTGGATAGGAAGTTCGTAGGCGTTGGCCACGGTGGGCGTCACCACCCCGTACGGGGGACAGCACCCTGTACAGCGGGTTCCGGCCTCCCAAACGATGTCCCACGCCAGCCAACTTCCGGACGGAGGAGCGACCCCCACGCCAGCAAAGCGACACCTGAGTGAGAGCAGCTCCGGCGAGTTCGCACACACAACATCAATGCTACAAGACGACGAAGGGGCCATGGACGGCAGCGTTCTCGGTAGCAAGGAGGACGGCGACTTCACAACAGTCAACAGAAAGAAAAAGAGGACTCGACACGAAGGATCTCAACGGAGCCAAGGTATCGTGAAACTTCCTAATACGGCACGCACCGTTCTGTTCGCGCCAACCGTTCCCGCCACGAATCTGAGGAAAATCAACCGCCAGCTGCTATCGGACGAACTGGAAGCACTGGCTCCCGGTCAGTTTAGCGAGGTACTAGTAAACACACGGAAAAAACATAATAGCCACGGATGCGAGGACGGAGGGCGGGGGTGCTAGAGCTCCTCATTCTGACCAAAATATGCGGGGTGCCTGTACGAGCTTTTCTCCCTCGCTCGAAGAACTCAAGAGTAGGGGTAATTTCGGACGTCGACACCGATATCACCGAAGACAGGCTGAGTAAGATAATCGGCAGCGGGAGTGAGCGTCGTGCAAGTTAGGCGGCTAGGCAAAACGCAAGCAGTCAAGGTTGTGTTTGAGGGTGACACGCTTCCTGCCCACGTCAAGATTGGATTAGTAAGGCACAGCGTTAGGCCTTTCGTCCAGCGTCCCCTACAGTGCCGACAGTGCTTTCGCATCGGACACGTAGTGGCAACCTGTCCTAACAGCGCCATTTGTCCCAAATGCGCACAGGCTCATGGTGAAGAAAACTGCACTTCAGCACAGAAGTGCGTAAATTGTCAGCGAGCGCACGAAGCAACCTCAACGGAGTGCCCAAAGCTCCAAAAGGAGAAGGAGACCTGCAAGGTCAAGGTGCGAGAGAACATCACGTTCCTGGAAGCGGCCAAGGTAGTCGAGGAACAGCGAAAAATCAAAAGGCGCAACAATCAACATGTAGAGAAACCCGGAGCGGGCACCTCGCAGCCTAAAAGTCATGACCGCCGCGCAAGGCGTGGACCCTGGGGCACAAGGCAGTTCTAATCCGGCAGGGGCAGCAAAGGCCGATAACCTACACAACGGTGGCAGGGACAACCACGCTAGGGGTCTCACCTATCGCGATGTCACTCAGGGCTCCCCCCAAATCCGGCGGCGGATAGAAAAAAGCCACGTTACCATCCCGAGACACAGGGGATACTGTCAAAGCAAGGGACGTCAATTCCAGAGTCCGCTGAGCGGTCTACCGCGAGCAAATTTATCAGCTTGGTGTTCAACACAGTGCGCCGGCTCCTCGAGCTGTTGCCGCCATCGGAGTTCCGCACAACACTAAATAGTCTTCTCTTCCTGGAGGGCCTCCTTGGGGCTGTCTTCTAGATGGGCAGCACATAGAAGCAAGCAAAGTACGGGATGGCAGCACAAACCCCCAGAAGAAACGCAATCACTCGAACGGCACCGACCGTCCTACAGTGGAATGCCAGAGGCCTCAACGCCAAGCACAGTGAGGTTAGCCTGCATCTGCAAAGCAACCCACGCCCGGTGCTGGCATTGACGGAAGCGGGACTGCCGGGCAAAAGATCGCTACCTGGATACTTTAGACTAACGACACAGTCAATACCAGGATTTCCACATGGAAGCGCGGTATTATTTATACGGAAGGAAATACCGCATGTACAACTCGATACCAGCCAACTTTGCACGACCTCAGCAGAGTTCGTGGGAGCCAGGATGAGCATCGGGAACCGAACGTTCGCCATTGTTTTGGGATATGTACGACCAAATGGCACAGAACTGCCGAGCGAGGAAATTCTGGCATGGTGTAAGGACCGATCAGAGGAGTTGCTTATATGCGGCGACTTCAACGCACATAATGTGGCTTGGGGAAGTGCTCGAACAGACAAGAGGGGGGACGCCCTTATGACAGTAATAGAGCAGATGGGACTTGCGGTGGCGAATGATGGACGGCCGACGTTCTTCAGGCCTCCGAACTCGTACAGTGTTCTTGACGTGACAGCGCACTCGCCATCCCTGGAGATGAAGTGGGAGCTAGCCCCGGACACACGGGGAAGTGATCACTTCCCCATCCACATCACCATCAAGGGGTGTCAGGGGGCAAGGAAAGTCGTGCGTACGTGCACTAACTGGGACGTTTTTCGAGCAGCGCTGGATTTGAGCCAAGAAGAAATTCCAGCAGCTATAATTCAAGCGTTACAGAAGGCCACACGCACTACTTCCGTCACAGAATGGCTCCCAAAGCCGGACCTCACATTTTTAAACCTTCAAGCGGCACGAACCAGGGCGCAGAGGAGGTACCGCCGGACGGGAGAGCCCGAGGACAAGACCAGTTTCAACAGGGTTTCGGCCAAGCTGCGAAGACACGCAAAGGTGCTGGTCAGGAATCGATGGAAACTCATGTGCAAGAATGCCAACGCACACTCGTCCATGACTAAGCTGTGGACCGTCCTAGAGACAATGACTGGGAAAAGCCGTTCAAGACATACCCTGCAGGTCTTGGCGCTGGCGGCCAACGAAACACCAGAAGCAGCAGCGGAGAGTCTGTGCGCCCTGTACGCCCCGGCAGAGGCGGCGGGAAGACCTGGGGTACCAAACACCGCGTCGGGAGCTCTGGATGCCCAGTTTACAGTCCAAGAACTGCAGAGTGCCCTTCGCAGATGTCGGAAGAAGAGCGCAGCCGGACCCGACGGAGTCCCGTACCAGGCACTCACGAACCTCACCGAAGTGGCCCAAGATGCCCTGGTCAAATGGTTCAACGCTATATGGAACTCCGGGGACGTCCCAAACGAGTGGAAAAAAGCAATGGTGGTGCCTTTGCTCAAGGCAGGGAAACCGCCAGGAAAGGCAGAGTCATACCGCCCAGTTTCACTAACCTCGTGCATAAGCAAGTTATTCGAGAGGATGGTGCAAGCTCGGATATGCTGGTACCTGGAAGAACATCACTCTCTCCCGAACTGCATGACCGGTTTTAGGAGAGGGCTGGCAGCCCAAGACAGTATCCTGGACCTAACAAGTGATATTGAGGACAACAAGAACAGGCGGAGGAACACGATTGCGGTGTTCTTGGACGTGGAACGAGCTTACGACAGCGTGCCGCTCCCTACAGTGCTTAAGAGAATGACTGAGATCAGGCCTGACCGGTAAAATTCAAAAGTTCCTGGCAAATTTTTTAACCGGGCGAAAAATTCAGATCAGGTCCGAAGGTACAGTGTCCTCGCCAAGGGTGCTGCACAGAGGGTTGCCACAGGGAAGCGTGTTGAGCCCGGTGCTCTTTAACATCGTGATGGCTACACTACCGAACGCCATCCCACCAACCCCACTCCCGGTACAAGTGTCTATCTATGCAGACGATGTGTGCCTCTGGGTGGCAGGAATATACACAACACAGATACACCGGAGCATACAAGACGCCACGCAAGCAGTAGACGAGTTTTTGGCTGAATCGGGGTTGTCCCTGTCAAAGAGCAAGACCTTCTGGATGCCGGTACGGGGGAATGGAAGAAGGTTTCAACCGCCAAGCATCGTGTTAGCGGGGGAGAACGTCACAAAGGTCACCAAGCAGAGGTTCCTGGGAATCGTCATCACAAGCAGGTTGAGATGGGCACAAGCCGTAAAAGCGACATCGGAAACATGCAGGCCTGCCATGAACGCTGTTCGCCGTATGACTGGAACCGCGTGGGGATGCACGGAGCGGACCATCACAGCTGCCCACACGGCGCTTGTAACGTCAAGGGTAATGTATAGACTCCCATACATGGCCCCATCTCGGACGGACCTGGAGAGGATGGAACAACGACATCGGCATGGACTACGAACAGCACTGGGGATTCCCAACGCTGCCAGGAACGACGCGGTCCTTCTGGAGGCGGGGACAGAGTCGCTCGCAAGACAGGCCAAAGGAAGGAGACTTCACCAGCTGGCGCGATTATCTATGACCCACCCGGGCAGATGGTTCCTACATCGAGTCCAGGCCCGGATGAAATCGCTATGGAGCGAGGCGGTAGAAGAGTTCCACAATGTCACGGACCCACTACCGACGAGGACGGACGAAGCAAGGATGGCTCCATGGGACGTAATCAAGGTGTCCAGTGACGTAAGAATCAAGCACCTGCGTTCCAAGAAAGATAGGCCAGGCATCGCTATCAGAGCAGCAGTTGAAGCACACTTGGAAGAACACCATAGGGGAAAGCTTCGAATATACACGGACGGGTCCGTAAACAAAGCAAGAACCTCCAGCACTGCGGCCTACTGCATACCAGAGAAAGGCTGGGAGTGGGGCGGGAGACTTCAAACACCCACATCTTCCACGGTGGCCGAACTGGTGGCCATCGATAAAGCCCTCCAAGCTGCCACCCTATTGCCACCACAGGGAATGGTGGTGCTCACCGACTCGAGATGCGCCCTTCAGAAGATTGCGAATGCAGAGTGCGGGGACCCAGCAACGACCGCCGTAAGAAAGTCACTAGCATCGTTGGAAGCACGCGGATCCACAGCGTGGCTCCAGTGGATTCCAGGGCATGCGGGGATCGAAGGGAATGAACAGGCAGACAGGCTGGCCGCAGCTGCTCACTTGGAAATCCCGGCTGTCCCGTCACCGGCAAATCCGCAACAGGCTGCACTTGACGTCCGCTGGTACCTTTTAAATGCAAGTAACGAGCCGGCGCTGCCAAAAGGAGCCCTGTCTGGATTGTCACGGGCGGCAGAGACCCTGGTGCGACGCTTGCGCACAAACACGGCCAACACGAAGGCTTTTCTGGTCAAGATGGGAAAACGGCGGATGTCAGAATGCTCGCAATGCGACGAGGAAGAGACTGTGCACCACATTCTCCGCGTCTGCCCGGCATACGAAGCTCAACGAACTGTGCTGTATGAACAAATCGGCATGGATAATCCGGGAGCAACAGTCGATATCCTCTTCCCAGATGGACCTCGAAGGAAGTGCCAGAAAGTGTTCAAGGCGGTGCTGCGCTTCCTGCGGGATATTGGCTTGATCGACCGACTGTAGTTGTATCTAAAACATAACAAAAGAAGGTTTTTTTTTTTTTTTTTTTTTTTTAACAGCTCTTTAAGAGCTCGTCACCTGTTCATGCCAGCTAATTGGGGCTAGGCTAACCTAGGTGACGTAAAACCTAAACTGCGCACCACCACCACCAATAAAATCAGTTGTTAGTAGCGCACTGTGCTGTCTGTTTCTCGCCTCTTTGTCCCTGTTTTTTGAGCGCTAAACGTATACCAAATTCCAAAACCAACTAGCCCAACAATCTACACTCTAAGAAAAAAGTTGGCCTCAAGGGACTAACGGCTGCATTTGGTCCTCTGAACTCCCAGTTGCTCCCCGAAAGGACCTTCTGGTTCAAGCTAGGTACCGTGTGCAAAAGCTGGGGACTAATTGCGCTCGACTGGGACCAACCGATAGGCGTGCGCGAGCAAAAGCAGCCATTAGTCCCCCTCAGACAGGGTGCATCTGTATGATTTAGTCCCCGAAGGCAAATTGAACGTTTGCTAGGAGGACGGATGATATTTCGCTCGTCTTGGGGATCGGCGAGACAGCCCGGCACGGCTGAAATTGTTAACAAAACTCGGACGAAACTGGCTAATTTGTTTAATGTGCAACGACCGTTCAGACATTACACGGTATATCTTCGCGCGGTGTGCGAATGCGAGTTAACGAATGTGTTGACTCTACTTCACCCAACTATCTCGTCAAAAATGATCTGTTGACATTTCACAAGTCCCATTCACGTAATTTGCCTTCGCGCAAAAAATGAGCATTTATCCAAACGCAACACCTCCAAATACTAACACTTCATTTTTCTTAAATAAAACTTAAGAGTTTGTAAAAGACGCGCTTTCAACACCGGAGTCTCGCAGTCAGAATAAATGGTCACTTCAATCGCTAAAACTGAGTTATTGAGAACAAGTCGAGCCTCGTCTCTGCGTCTCCCCGTAACCCAACCTTTCTTGGTAGTCCAATGTCGAACTCAAAATCCGCAACGACACACTTGATGCACGGCACGTTCCACACAAAAAGCACATTCAGAAGCAGTGTCTAGACGCCTTCATACGATCGTCGTCGCTGTTTCAGATAACACTTTAGATGAACATCGAAGAACGAATCGCGCCCGGATCGTCATCCATGGCCACACCCTGTTAATACAAAAAAAATGCAAACTAAAAAAAAAGGCCCCCGAGAAAACTGAAAAAAAGAGAAAAAAAAAGAGAAAAAAAAAAAAAAAAAGGAAAAAAGTGTTTGCTTGTACAGAGCGCGACACTGTTAGCGCGAACAAGCGATCGCCGGTTTTTCCCGTTTTTCTCTTTGAAACCAAGGGATGTCA